AGCACATTACGTACCAAGCACTGGCATAAGGTGTGATTCTCATCTTGGACGCTGTGAGCAGTAGACTATGCATGCAGGTTATTTATTGTGTGTGTAAGCAAAAACGTAAATCTGGAAAAGATGAGGGAAGAAAGGGGTGAAACAAGGAGAAAAGCTCATCTATGGTAATGCTGGTTCTGTATTTTATGTGGACTGAACTAAACACAATCAGGCAGTCACTGAGTACAACTTCAAGAACACGTAATGTGAAGACGATTTGTTTAAAAAATGGTTAAAAATGTTCATATTTTTCACACAAACCACTCAATAAACAGATCAAATCAGGCAAGTCAACAGAAATGACACCCTGAGCTTATTATCATCTGTACTCCAAAATTCATCGTATAATACTGCATCTTACAAATAAAAAGTCCATACGAAATTGTTTTACAAAGATATATCTTTGGGTGCACACTGCATGAAGGCAAAAAAATGTGCTAAAAACCAATCTTGCAACCTCACAACAATTACTACAGGTAGATACAGAATACAATAAAAACACATCTTAAATAAACATTATATACATTAAATACGTTATAACCTTTTCTGTCATTCCCCAGGCAAACATTTCAGTGCATATTTGAAGCACTAGCTATATCGATATAAAGAATTTACAGATACATTTGTACAGTAACATGAACTGCTGGTGCCCTTGATGACACATCTACTCCATCCTTGGTTAAATACTGTTTATAAAAACTGTACATTTTAGTCTTTAAAAAAAACATATGTATTTATAATAACACAACATGTATTGTCATTACATAATGAGGTGACAAAAAATGGATCAAGAGCTGTTGACAGCATTGCAATTTCAGCGATCTTAGCTGACTCCAAGCAATTATAGAGCTGCCAAAATACACACTGTATGGCATATCAGTACCATGTTTCTTGTGCGATTCTTGTATTCTGAAGAAAAAATGAGTGAAGAATTAGTGTGATTCTTTTCCCTAATTATCCCTAATTTTGTCACTGCTGTCATCTAAAATGTACAGTGCATGTCTTTTCCTCCATCCAATACTCCAGGTTAAAGACAAACCTTTTAAGTGGCATTTAGAACTTTTAACTTAGAGACAGCAAGCTCACTGACGCTTCATGGTAAAAAATAAGCTCTAGAGACAATGAACAATGGCATTTTAGCAAAAGAAAATTCAGTGACATTTTACAGTATCTTAAATGGAATACATGTTAGAAAGCTTTATACAGTGCACTTTTAAATTTCCAAAGAGGAACCATACTGTTTCGAAAGCAATAAAATGATCACAAAATCAGAAGTTATATTTACACTGTACAAACATTATACGTACCAGCTGAATAAGTGCATCCAAGAACCTCATTTTTGTAGCTGTCTAAAAGATGGATTGTGTATGAGAGAAGAGTCAGCATTTTGCAGCCAGTTTTTCATATTTTTTTTCAAATGTGAATATAGCAACAGCTTCTTCACTGCAGTTTTCAAAGTGCAATTCCTCTGTCTGCATCCTCTGCTCACCTTCCCACAACTCTTTGTGATTGTCTCTGCAGGAGTCCATCTTAATATTACTCTTTAAAGCCGAAATGCAGTTTTCCTGAATAAGTCAGTTCACAACAAAACTCTCCAATGAATTCATGCAGACTATGTGCGTTCTTAATTGCTCCAAAAAACCCTTGATCCAATCATCCTGAAAAAATTAATGATTTTACTGCATAGCATAGTGTCCCATGATAGGAAAAGCAGCAAAGATTAATTTTCAACAATTGTATACACCCAATGTTGCATCCTACTACCATAATAACAGACTAAACAGAACAATAAAGCCAGACTTTCATTTATGTCATTCATGACTACTAGTTGTCTCAAAAGAAGTCTACTGAAGTGCTTGTGAAATGCTGCAGCCAAATTGCATACAGGAAGCTCCGAAAACTGCAACATGATACTTACTAGATAATCAATTTTTATAATGTTAATTGAGAAATGAATATTGGCCAGGATACAGGGAGAACTCCTCTACTCTTCTCTGAAATAGCACCACGGAATCTTGAAACGCCACTAGAGATGGAAGCCAGGGCCTTAGCTTAACATCTCTGGCAGTGCAGCACTCACTCAACAATGCAATGAAGAGTGGAACTTTTATTTGATATTCAAAGTCCTGAAGTAGGACTTAAACATGGAACTTTCTGACACATAGGTGAGAGTGTCATTAACTGAGCCACAGCTGACACTTATTGCAACACAAATATTGAACAGAAATACATTGACAGAAGTAACTTGAAATGTTTAACCACTCCTATTCTTCACATAGGATCTAAACAGATATCAACTGTTCAGCCCAAATTGTCTGGAACCACTTCAGGGCTCAAGCTACAATTATTCAACTTATATTTTTACATAGACTTAATTTCTGTCTCTCCTCCCATCAAGATTATAGAGATGTTAACTTAAAGTCACTTCAACCCAGTAATTTTCCAATAACGTTTCCCTGGTTCCAAAAATATACCCTCAGCTCTGTAGAGCTCAACCTCACAGCCAACATCAAGTTAAATAGTTCCCAAAATGTCCAATTTTAACTGTCAGCAACAAAGCTGTACTTTATCACAGTTTAAACTGAAATTGCTATGTTATTGATTTGAGAAGTTTGGAAATTCTGTCAAGATTGTTCTTGGCTCTACAGAGTGGAAGAAAGTTCATTCAAATAGTCAGAAAATGATGGCATATCTAGTCATCATTTATTGAAAATATTCTACTGCATTGGTTCTGAAATAAGCACGTCAGCTTAAATAAAAGTACTCGGAAACAGGAGGAAATAGATGTCAGAATGGGAAAAATAGAAAGACTAAGTTTCCTTACAGGATATCATTTTCAGTATAGTATCCTGATTTAGAATGTAGCCTCATTAAAGTTGCTGCATTGGATGCAATAACTTATATTCTAGTTATAGTTGCCAGAATTACTTTCCTACACCTAATAATTAACAATGTTGCCTTATTACAGGCTACTAAAATGCCTGTTGCCTAATTTCATGCATAGGTTATATCAATCTCTTGTCTACAATAAATGCCTGTTCCTATACACCCAGGAAAAGCTATGGATTTAGTGCAAGGACAATTACTAGTTGTTTTAGAAATGGCTTGCTCCTGCTCGATTCTGAATCATGAAGCAGTTTCACCTTTCCATCCATGAAGGTAATACTTTGAGAACACATCACTTTCTATTATGTGGTTTCATACCACACAGAAACATAATATGTTTCATTGCCACAGTAAAATTATATCGTCAGTCTTTCTTGAACAATTGAGCACTTTGATAACCATACTACACCAAACAAAATCAAGCATTTTGTGAGAAACCTTGTGGTGTTCAGGCAGCATTATGGAAAATAGTACAATATTATATTTAATAAGGAGTGTTTACTTGTTTATTGATTTACTTTTTGGCTTCAAGACAAACACAGTCATAAATCTTAATTTTAAAATGCTTAGTCTTTGAGCATTTGTTCAGAAAATTGTCAAGATAATTATCAGTGTAATAACAGACTAATTCTCTGTATCATGCACAATTTATGTTTTGTTGTCATTGCTGAAGTGAGTTTGTATTCTACTTATAATCACGTGTCAATCCAATTACAGCAGGGATTGAGTTAGAAAGCTCAAAAGATGGTACCTGAATTTCTTTCATTTTTGTTTTCTTGAACCAACATATTACAGAACCCTTGTCTGTTAGACTTCAGTAATACATTGGTTCAAGAAAACATGAAAGAAAGAATTCAGGTGCCATCTTTTGTAGTTACTTCAACACAACACAACTGAGGTCTTATGGAGAGGGAACTGTAAAGGTTATGTATTCTGCTGAATGAAGCTGAACAAGAAACGTCTGGGCAAAAAGAGGAACACAGTGGGTCTGACACAGCAATGGGCTTTTCGTTGATTTTACTGCTCCAATGCAAAAATGTATTTACAAGAATTACCTGAAATAAATGCCCATGGTTACGTTAAGAAAGGAACCAAAGTTCCATTCCACCATACATCCAGCTAGAAGAAAATTCAGCAAGGACCAGCAGCAAATTTATGCAACACTCTCTACCACAAAGTGAGCAGTGCCACTGTATTTATGAATGCTATAAAGGTAAAGTCACCACAGTCTTACCAGACCACAGGGCTGCTCTCTTATTAGAGACAACCAGTGGTGGTTTAACCTGACAGCCACCACGCCTCAGGCAAGGTGACAGGTTGAGGAGGACAGTCCTTCAATTGTAACTTCATCCAGTGCAGGAATTGAATACTCAGTGTTGGTGTGACACTCCATCGCAAACCAGCTGCCCAGCCAACTGAGCTAACTGACCTTCTATCCCTATGCTTCACACTTTATAGTGCATATTATTCCAATATGCAAATCTGTGACCATTACCAGAAAAGGAACGCACATCAAAACACGTTTCGAGGCAGTGTATCTTTGTTCTGAGTAAATGTTACCGCTCCATTGTGGACAGAGGCAAGAGGCCTTGCTCCCTGGGAAACACAAGTTAGACAGTGCACCCAGAGGTGATAATGCTGTCACACAAGGCTCATACTGATGCAGTAGACAGATGGAGCAATAATCAGATATCACGATTGCCTCTGAGGATGGGGAACCTACAAATGGTTCCAGTGAAGCTGTGCAAAACTACAACAGTGTGGAGATACTTTACAACACAGTAGATGGACAAAGACCTCATCACATTTGGATATGGAAACAGAACCCTGCCAGGGAAAACTAGGAGGGCAAAAGTGCGCAGGAATGAGCAGTCTTGGATTGTTTGAGGGAGATAGCTGCAAAAGGAAATCAACATCATTTTGAAGAACTTTGCAGGTTCCGACAGCTGCAACTATGCTGGGTACATTGATAAATGGGAAACTGCTGGTTCATTTCCCTGTTCCATTTTGAAGAAGAACTATATAACTTCAGTTTGGTCTATGTTTGGGAAAAAAAAAATTTCCTGTACATGAGATAGAGATGAGACATAACTTTATTCAATGAAAAGTGCACGAGCAGTTAATCTGACACATGTTGTCTATAACGTTTGCATCTTGTGGTTGATAATACTTCTTTATACCACTTTTAAACATGTTCCGCTGCTGACGGTGTAACTGTGGTAGATAGTTGTTGAGCCATCTGATGAGTTGCCTGTGATTCAGAAGAGCCAGTACTTGTATCCTGGAATATCTGACGAGTCCACAAGAGAGCCAAAGTCTTGATGTGAGTTCACTGCTCTCCAAGGCAATGCCTGGAGCTATTTTTGCAGCTGCTGGCCCAGATCACTGTAATTATCACCCTGCACGTGTGCTTCTCCATCTGCATCATTGATGCATCTCAATAATTAACCATGGACGAAATCCCTCATCTATGACCCTTTACCCTCTCTTTATTCTTTGGATGAGGGCGTCGCTGGCCAGGCAGCATTTATTGCCCATCCCTAATTGCCCAGAGGGCAGTTAAGAGTCAACTACATTGCTATGGGTCTGAAGTCACATGTAGGCCAGACTAGGTAAGGATAACAGTTTCCTTCCCTAAAGGACGTTCGTGAACCAGATGGGTTTCTCCCCCCCAACAATCGGCAACGGATTCATGGTCATCATTAGATTCTTAATTCCAGATATTTTATTGAATTCAAATTCCACCATCTGTCGTGGCGGGATTCGAACCCATGTCCCCAGAACATTATCTGGGTCTCTGGATTAACAGTCCAGCAATAATACTACTAGGCCATCGCCCATTAACAAAGAGATATGTGGATGCTCTCTTCACTCCAACATTTACCTCTCTCGTCATTGGAGCTGTACTGTCAATGGAAATTCTTGAGGATTGGAGACTACATGGATCACAAGACGGACACACTTCTCAATAGGGTTTAGGAACTGTGCTGAGGGAAGAATCATCAATGAACGTCAATAAAGAGGAAAATGAACTTGGGAGTATTGTTCTGTGGTGAGGATAACAAGGAGTTTCAGCAATGAAAGGGGAACACTGAATGTTGTGGAGGTGATGAAGAATAAGTGCCATCCAGGACCGAGGTCTCAAAAGGGGAAGGCTATCAATTCAAACAACAGAAGAGGAGGTGTAGCTTCAACTGGGGAAGGGGAGGAGAGCCAATTTAATTAACAAACTAAGTATGAGTTTGAACAATGTTTCAAGGGGAAGAAAAGTTCCAGTTTGAATTGTGAGGGAGAGAAGTTCCAGTGAACACTGGAAGGATCAGAGTGAGAATGGTCCCTGTGGAAGGGCAAGGTGTTACACTGGATACTTGCTATTGGATTGCATTAGGTTTGATTCTAACATAAAACGTAGAACTGGAAACCTGAAACAAAAATAGAAACTGCTGGCAAAACTCATGAGGTCTGGCAGCATCTGTGGGAAGAAAGCAGAGGTAACATTTGGAGTGCGGTGATTTTGCGTTCTGCTGAACGGTCATCGGACTCAAAATGTTACCTCTACTTTCTGCCACAGATACTGCCAGACTTGATGAGTTGCACCAGAAATTTCTGATTTTGTTTGATTTGATTTTGGCCTACCCAGTGGAAAGTGGGCACTTGGGCAGTAAAAAGAAAAAGAAAAATGTAGCTTGCCCATTCGGACCTGAAGTTTATGTGAACACATTGGGTGCAATTAGAGCAAATGTGATATTGAAGTAACTGTAACAAGGTTATGATCTGGGACATCACTGTGACACTTTGGTCTGTAACTTGGGGCAACTCAGAAGGAGCCTTTTCCCAGACGCCAGTCCTGTTTGTATTGACTCCTTAATGACTGACAGCTCACCTGAGCCTACAATGCCACTACCTAATGCATCACTCTATATACCCCATCTTCGCTGCAAAGTTATGTCTAAGATGCTGCTTAGTCCAAGCATGGGTGATGATGCTTGGTGTTGAAGCCGCAGGATTAGATTCCCCACGCTCTGTAAAGAGAGCAGATGGGACATTATTAGTCATCTGTTTAATTGGGCATTTTCAATAATATGAACTTTAGAACACTTACGCATAGTTTATATGAACATACCCATGCAACAGCAGATGACAAGATTAAGATAGTACATACCTGAAGCTAGTGGTCATCCAATTTCTTGCAAATCATCAGCTTCTGCAGCCTCCCTCCCTGCTATTGCCACTATTTATGTGCAATTAAAGGCTGCGGATGCTGTAATTAGGATCTTCCCTTTGTTGCCCTTCTGTTGTGTGCAAGTATTACCTTTAAACATAAGAGCAGTTTAATTCAGAAGCGTTTGGAACCACGGGTCACTTTCCCAGCAGTAAGTTCTCTGCCATTCTTATCGTGAAATGCAATGCGCAAAGGCCCATTTTAAACTGTGCATATTTCTCAACACCAGCTCAAAAAAGTAAAAATGACCTATGTGGCAGAGGCCAAATTATGAGCTGTTTTATGTCAAGGTCACTGATCCTGAAGTTGCCTACAAATCATCAAAATTACAGATGAACAGCTTATTTGATAGTAAGTGACATCTTCGCTCAGGAACCTGTTCAGCTCTTTTAAAAGGTTGTGTTGACTTATATGTTACCACAGCATATCTGAAATGGCAATGAGTGAAAATAAACACATTGCCATGTAGTGAGGGGAAATAATGTAGTACAGGTTTTTATTGATTTGTTCATGTGATGTAGGCATTCATGTCCAAACCAGCATTATTAATTACCTGGGAGAAGGTGATAGTGAACTGCAGCAGTGCTTGGAGCGTAGGAACACCTGGAGTGTTGACGGGGAGGAAATTCTAGGATTTTGACTCAGCAACACTGAAGGAACAATGATATATTTCCCTCGGAAGGGAACCTTTAGGGGGTGGGTTTCCATGTATCTGCTACTCTTGTCCTTCTATGTGCTAGAGGTAAGGGGTTTGGAAGAAGCATTGGTGGCTTGCTAGAGTGCATCTTGCAGATGGCACACACAGGGAGGTGATGGTCTAGTGGCATAATCTCTTGACTATTAATTCAGAGACCCAGGTTCGAATCCTGCCATGGCAGATGCTGGAATTTGAATTTTCTAAATATCTGGAATTAAGGGTTCAATGATGACCATGAAATCATTATCAATTGTCAGGAAAAACCCACCTGGTACACTAACGTCTATTAGGGAAGGAAACCTGCCGTGCTTACCTGGTTCAGCCTGCACGTAACTCCAGACCCACTTAACTGCCTTCTGGGCAATTAGGGATGGGCAATAAATGCTCTCCTGGCCAGTGATGCCTGCATTTTGAGAATGAATAAAATCAAAACACAACTGCCAGCGATGGAGAGAGTGTATGTTGAAGGTGGTAGATGGGGTGCTAGTCAAGTGGCATGCTTTGCTCTGGTTGGTCATGAACTTCTTGGGTGTTGCAGGAGATGAAAGGTACTGCACCATACGATTGAGTTTGATCTTGTAGATGGGAGACAGCCTTTGGGGAGAGAGACAAGGTGACTTTCTTGCTGTAGAATTCCCAGCCTCTGACCCGTTCTTGAAGTCGTAGCATTTATATGGCTAATCCAGTTCTTCCTCTGGTCAGTGGCGGGGGGATTAGTGATGGTTTTGCCATTGAATGTCAAGGGAGCACGGTTAGAATCCCTCTTAGAGCACAGAGCAGTACAGCACAAGAACTGGACCTTTGGCCCACCATGTCTGTGCTGACCATGATGCCATTCTAAACTATTCCTATCTGCCTGCACCTGGTCCCTATCTGTCTTTTCCCTGCCTTTTCATGTCTGGCTAAATGCTCTTAAATGTTGCTACTGTGTTGCTTTTACTGCCTCTGCTGGCAGCACCTTCCAGGCACCTACTAATCTGTGCTCAAAAAAAACTTTCCACGCACATCTCCTTTAAAATGTTCCCCTCTCAGCTTAAACCTGTGCTCTTAGTATTTGACATTTCCACCTTGGGAAAAGACTCCAACCATCCTCACACAAATGTATATACTTCTTCTATCAGGTCAGCCCTCAGCCTCCAACATGTAGCAGCTCCTCTGGTGGAGATGGTCATTACTTGGCACTTGCGTGACGTGAATGTTATTGTCATTTTGTGCTGGGTATAATTACAAACAGAAGAATGTTTTCCCCATGATTCCCACTGTCGAGAGTTTTGTGAGAACTCAGTGATACCATACTGGGTTAAAAACTGCTTTGATGTGAAGGGCAGTCATTGTCATGTAGCTTCTGCAACCCAGTCCCTTCATTCATGTTTGGACCAAAGCTATAATGGCTATAAGTAGTACTGGGCAACTAAACAATTTACAGGAGGAGGTGGTGCCACAAATATCCCCATTCTTAACAGTGTGTGAGCACAGCTAATTGGTGTGAAGGACATGGCTGAAATATTTGCAACAATCTTCAGCCAGAAATGCCGAGTGTATGGTCCAAATTAGCCCCTCCCAAGCTTGCTAAAATCACAGATGCCTGTCCTCAGCCAATTTCCTTTACTCCACGATATCAAGAAATGGCTGAAGGCACTGGCTATACTGAAAAGGCTATGGGCCCTGACAATATTTTGGTAATAGTACTGAAGGTTTTTCTCAAGAACTAGATACACCTTCACCCAGGCTATTCTACTACAACTTCAATACTGGCAAGAGCCTGATAATGTGGAAAACTGTCAACATTATGGCATACCCGTAAAAAGAAGGACAAATCCAACTCAGCCAATTATTGCCCTATCAGTTTGCATTTGATCATCAGCAAAGTGTTGACAGGAGTCATTGACAATGCTGTCAATCATGATTTGCAAAGGAAAAACCTGCTCACCAGAGTTCAGTTTGAGTATGCCATAGCCACAGAACTCCTGATCTTATTTTTAGTTTTATTTGTTCACGGGATAGGGGCACGACTGGCTATACCAACATTGATTTGCGTCCTTAATTGCCCTGGAGGTGATGTAGTAAGCAGTCTCCTTCACAATTAGAAACCTTGGGGTGCAGTGCTCACAGAGAGGGAGTTCCAGGATTCTGACCCAGCGATAGTGAAGGTACAGTGATATATTTCCAAGTTGGGATGGTGTATAGCTTGGAGGGCACCTTACAACAGTGGCATTCCCGTGTAGTTAATGCTGTCCTTGTTCTCCCAGGGACTAGAGGTTGTAAGTTTGGAAGGCTCTGTCGGAGCAGCCTTGGTAAATATCAGCAGAGTTACAATGTAGATGCTGGATGGTACACACTGCTGCTATTGTGAAGAAGGGAGTGAATAGTCAAGGTACTGCATGAGATTCTAATCAATTGGCCTACTTTGTCATTGACGGTATTGAGTTTCTTGAATCTTGCTGGAATTGCATCCATCCAGGCAAGTAGAGAGCATTGGGCGGCACGGTGGCTCAGTGGTTAGCATTGCTGTCTCACAGTGCCAGGGACCCGGGTTCGATTCCACCCTCGGATGCATCCATCCGGGTAAGTGCAGAGCAGTGCTGGGTCAGCGTCAGCATCTGTGATACACAGTGGAAGGTGACTGTTTAAAGCGCCACTACCTCCACTTCACTGGGATTTTGGGACATTTTAGTGAAAACTCAGGTGCTCTTTGGGTGGCCCACATTCTCTGTAGAATGATTAAACATAGGGAGTATAAGAAGTGGGCCTGAATATGATACCAGAGCTATAAAAGTCCATGGGCATGGATGCAGAAGCACACCTTGGTTTAGAGGGTACGAGATGCCATGCTGGGTGGGGAACATAGCTTGGCTTGTGGGGGTATGAGAGGCTACAGGAAGAGTGGGTGCTATGGATGACACATAGCAGGTGTTAAGGGGGATAAGGAGTGAGGACTGAGGGGATATTCCATTCTTTATTTTGCATTTTTAAATTCTGGGCTAGAGTATATCCTTGCATCCAGCCCTCCTCCACAGCCTATAGCCTGGTTTGGATCTTTCAGAATCTCCAGATCACAAAACCTGAAGTCCAGGCAGCCATGTTTAAAGGTCCTGTTCATACACTCAGAATTCTCCTGTCTCTGCACATCCGATAGGAGCAAAAAATCCAGGCCAAACTGTTTGGAAGGTATTGGGGCTAGAAGTCTTCAGACTTAGAAGCAAGAACAAATGTGCTGGAGAAACTCAGAGTTCTGGCAGCATACGTGGAGAGAAAAACAGAGCTAACGTTTCAAAGAAGAGTCACGCTGAACTCGAATTGTTACGGTGTTTCTCTCTTCACAGATGCTGCCAGACCAGCTGAGTTTCTCCAGCACATTCTGAGCTCGTTTCAGATCATCAGTGCCTGTCATATTTTGCTCTTATCATCCGATTTAGAATGGGTTTGATGGCTCCAGTTCAGTTGCAAGGAAGGTTAAATGGGCCAGCACGAGTAAGATGGGAAAGAAAGCTTTTGACAAATTCAACATCCTGTACAACTCAAACCAACACTCCTTTGTTGCTCTTTGCTGTCTGTTTTCCCACTAAAGCTGAGCCAACTCACAATCCTCACAGATAAATAACATCACTTGAGGTTGCAGTTTTGTGTTACATTTGACCTTGGGCTGAGCATCCAGTGACCTATCTATGCCATCATTAACTGACTAGTTGTACCTTGGTTACCATTTCCCAACTTCAATCCTACTTCAGCTCATTGGTTGCTGAAGCTTTTTCTTGTCTATTGCAATGCACCTCGTAGCAGGTCTTCTATATTTCACTCTCCACAGAATTTTGCATGACTCAAGTCGATGTCTTAATTAGCATGAAGTCCTGTCCCCTACATCTCCCCCATGTTTACCCACCTACATAGTTCCCAGTCAGGCAACAGCTTAAACATAAAGTTCTTATCCTTGTTTTCAAATCCCTCCATGGCTTTGCCCTTCCAGCTCTGTAATTGCTTCCAGTCCCACAAACCTCCAAAACCTCCTCTAACTCCAGTTTCCTGTGCATTCTCAATCATAACCACTCCACTGCTTTCTTCAGCTGCCTTGATCCAAAGCTCTGGAATTCCCTCCCTGCACCCATTCGTCTCTCCACATTACTTTGCTCCATTGTGACATTCCTTAAAACCTACATCTTTGACCAAGCGTTTGGCCAGCTGCCCCAATATCTCACCAGCTTCAGCAATACATTTTTTTCTATAATGCTCCTGTGAAAAGTCTCAAGATGCTTTACTATGTTAAAATAAGTATCCAAATATAAGCTGTCGTCGGCAGGGCCGAGACCAAGATGCTCAGGAGTTGCTGCAAATGATGTTTCTTTAATCCAGCAAGTGGCTCAGCCCGAGGTTCCAAGGAGAGGGAGGTGAATGGGAGTTCTGTGTATGAGACAGTATCATAGCTCAGTTGGTATCCTGGGAATTGCAGTAAGATTCTCAAGATGGAAGAACACACAGGCGACAATTCTAAAGTTGGAACATCTTTGTTACGGGCTGTCATCGGCTAAATGGAAGGTGCTTTGGCCTAAAGTAGGACTAATGTGCAGTTAAGCTGACTGAAACAATTCCTGAGATTGGTATATTGCAAGACACAGCAACATTATGTGTTTCGCTCTCTCAGCTGCAGTAGCTGTG